CAGGGAAATGGACGGGGATTGGCAACGATCTTGAGCTAAAAATGGAGGGAAATTGTAGTTGGTATTTTGACCATTTGAGAGGTCATTTGAGGTGACAAAACGAGGGTCAAAACCTTGATGCAATTGCTGGAAATGCGGAGGGAAGATAACAACTGTAAGAAGGGAAAACATAAACTTTGAATTGCAGAGGAAGAGATAAAGGGACATAACGCCGGGAAACGGACCAGACCCACTCGAGAATCGGACTAGATTGGCGGTTTGATTTCCGGGTGGATCCATGGAACCAACGTACGGTTCTCGGTTCTAATTTTCGAAACCGGTCCTTAGCGGGCAGTTCCCGGTTCTGGGGTAGGAACCCCCCACTTGGACCATGCTCACCCATAGGAATAACACATTGCTAAATTAAGAATATAATTCTTAACGCACACAACGATTATTCTCGTGATATGAGCAATCGATACCTTATAATTTAGAATATTTTGTTTATCGAATATGTCTATGCTCTAGTTAAAAGATACCTTGTGAGCGCTGCTCTCTTCATAGTCAACGATAGGACGACCTTATTGGGCTTTGGGCCTAACTAATATAGGATTCACATTCTAGAACCTCTGTATTGGGCTCTGTCTTGCTCAAATTGGTGACAGAGAAACTCAAATCTTTCGAGGTGCTTTTGGGCTTGATCTAGTGGAACTCTCTGCGTAGACAACTTGCAAACAAATGTTTGATTCTATTCTTTTGTTCCAACGGTTTGGGAACAAATGCGTTTGTTTAATTTTTTGATTCTAGGCACAATTTTGTCAAAAATTATTCCCGAATCAGTTTGGAAACGAGAATCAAGAATAAAAAAGTAGCTTCTTGATTAAGGAACAATTTTGAGAATTAATTTTTTTTCTTCTTCCTTTTCTTGATTTTTAATTTAGCTTCTAATGTCCGGCCCGAGGACCGCCCTCGCCGGATCTAACGAGAATAAAATATTTTAATAAAATATATTATTAATAAAAAATATTTTACCGGTCATGGCCAGCGACCAGGCCATGGCAATAAAAAAGAAAAATATATATTTTTAATAAAAAATTATTAATAAAAAATATTTTACCTGCCATGGCGATCGGCCATGGCAAAAAAAAAAAAATATATATTTTAATAAAAATATTTTAATAAAAATTATTATTAATAAAAAATTATTTTACCGGCCATGGCCGCCCAGGCCATGGCCAAAAAAATAAAAATGTATATTTTTAATAAAAATATTTTAATAAAAAAATTATTAATAAAAAAATATTTTACAAGCCATGGTCGCGATCGAGCCATGGCCAAAAAAGAAAAATATATATTTTTAATAAAAATATTTTAATAAAAAAATATTTTACGAGCCATGGCCGCGGCACCAGGCCATGGCAAAAAAAAAAAAAATATTTTAATAAAAAATATTATTAATAAAAAATTAATTTCTACGCCATGGCCTAAGAACTGACACATGGCCAAAAAATAAAAATATAATAATAAAAATATTATTAATAAAAAAATATTTTACCTGGTCATGGCATGACGACGAGCCATGGCAAAAAAAAAAAAAAAATACTTTTAATAAAAATATTATTAATAAAAAATATTTTACGTCATGGCTCTGGAAGAGCTATGGCCAAGAAGGAGGAAAAGAAAAAGAAAGAAATATTAAAATATTTAAAAATATTATTAATAAAAAGAAATTTTGCGGCTACCAAACGCATTTATTCTTTTTCTATTCCGGGAATGGAATTTTGGGCCGTTAAACAAACGCCTTAAAATGCTCAATCAATTCGCACGTAATCAAAAAGAATCATTTCGCAAATCTTTCGAGGTGCTTTTGGGCTTGACCCAGTGGAACTTTTAAGGACGCGAATGATAATCATTCCGTTTCCCTATTTTTTATTTTTTTATTCCCGAGAATAGATTTGGAACAAAAATCCATTTTGTAAAATAATTTCATTTTTTTATTTCCGGCACAAATTTTGACCTAGAAATAGATTTTGAACAGAAATGAGAAGTTAAAATTTTTTACTTTTCTATTTCTGCAACATAAACAAAAATAACAACTCTCTTTTATTGCTCTCTCTTACCTCCGCCGCCGCCACCCGCCGCCGGCCGTCCGCCACTCGCCGGCCATCCGCCGTCGCCTGTCACCACCGCCACCGCCTTTCACCAGCCGGCCGTCCGCCACTGCCGCCTTTCACGGGCCGTCCGTCGTCGCCGGCCATCCGCTGCCGCTCGTTGCCCCCTATCGCTACTCGCCCGCCGCCCATTGCTCGTCGGCTGTCCACTGTCACCCGTTGCCATCACTTGTGACCCCCCATCGTCGCTCGCCCGCCGCCCGCTGCTTGTCGGCCATCCGCCATCGCCCGTTGCCACCGCCGCTCGCCAGCCGTCCGCCACTGCCGCTCACCGGCCGGCGGGAATAGAAATTTTGCTTCATTATCAAACGAATTTTTATTCCGAGAACAAAAATTTTGTGTCGTTATTAAACGATACTTTTTTCTCAGAAACTCACCCAGGAAAGAGAAATAAATTTTTTAATTTCTAGCCAGAAATAGGGCCGGGAAAGAGAAAAGTTGTCATTCGTGCCCTAAGATTGCACGCAAAATTTGAACATGAAATCAAGAAAGATAGAGTTTGGAAGGTTGGGAATAGAAAAATTGAAAGGGACTCCGGATTTTTAGTACTTCATAGGGACATGTCGCGCGCAATACTAGGAACTCATGCTTGTTATAGTCCTTGAAGATCGCCCGAGGACGAGGATGAGTACTTGCGAGGTCCAACTGGGTCCGACCTTATTTAGTGACGAGATATTTCAGTATCTAACTTTCGAATAATCATCTACACCGTCCGACTTCTCCCGAAATTTAACAAGGGGCGAGGGATACTTGAATCCAGTCGCAACGTGTTTGTTGATTTTCCTATTATTCGATGCTAAAGTACGCCCTTCCTCCCCTTCCTTTTTCTCTCGTGTGGGGGTGGGATACGGGCCCAGACTGGGCCATCGCGCAATTCCGTCCAACCAAACGACGAACCAGACGAACTCGCGAGCTACGTCTCGGGTCCATGGTCCTGGCCTACGAGCCCGCCGTCACATCATAGAAGATGGCTACTACCAAATGGGCCCACCCAAGAATTCAAATCCGACATCCGAGGGACATCCCTAAACACACAAAATAACCTAAGCCTTCGTATTCGACCGCAAACGTTGCCGTCGAACGCTCGATCGTTGCGTTACCGAAGCTTTCATGATTTGTTTAGCCCGCAAATGCCAGTCGCCATCTAATCACAGCCACAAACAAACCAGAAAGCACGACAAGAACCAGTCGCCATCTCCATCACCCCCAGCTTTGCTTAACAGAAGCCACCAAGCAATCGTCCCCCCCTAATGGAGGACACGTGTCCCGCCTCCGGCTCCCGTTGCATCACCCGACGATCCCCCACTTCCTCCCATCGTCCACGCGTACGCACCCCATTGGCCGACCTCTCCCCCCTTTTTAATTTTTTTTTAATTTCGAAGGGCATATAGAAATATATATATTGTATAGAAAAATTGGAAAAGTAGAAGCATCTTGGGTCTTTCCTAGCACATAATTCGGGCAAAGAGATAACGTTGATTAACACGTGAGACGTAGGCATGTAGGCAACCTCGGGAATCACCGATCTCGTACACGTGGCGGCCGTCGGGCGGGACGTTAGCGACAACTCTTGGTGCGAGGCAATTATCAGATGAATGGGGTCCACGTGAATCCAGTCCGCTTGCGAACGTCGGATCGAGACGAGAATCGCCAAGATCGAAATCTCAAGGGCCACGATGAGCCGCGCGCACCTCAGAGAATTTTCGTCCTTTTGCATGGGAAGAAAGGTACGTGGTTTCCCCCGCGTGGGGCCCGGGGTCCTCTCGGAGACCGCCACGTGTGTGGGCCCCCTTGATGCCGACCCCCGGCCCGTGACAGGTGTGTAGGTTTGGAGTAGACCGGGACGGGGACCGACTAGGATGCGTGGGGCCCCTTGGAACTGTTTCGACCGACACTAAACTCCAAAATTTGACCGAGCAAAATCCTGCTGATCATTTTTTACAATTTCCAAGAGGCAAGAATTAACCATTGACACTCGCATCAACTTTTTTTCAGAAGGACCCTTATCACGAATTCTTTCAATAATGCCCCCCTCAATTTCAGCCAGTGGTACTCTTTTGGCCCACCTGTTACCTCCATGACGAAATAGCAAATCCCACTTTTTTGAAACGCACGCTCGCCTTGTTTACCGGGTCGTGTCCTTTGTACGTCTGGCTCAAGTCGTCTCGCTCGTGCTTAATTATTTAATTACCCGATTCGAGGCTATGGTAAGTCACGAGTATCATATTCGAAAGACAGCAAACACCCAAGTTTTTGTTTCACCGCTCACATACACGGTCATAATCTGGAAATTGAATATCAATTTGAGTCGAGCAGGTTTGTAGATGCAATGTTTAATAGCCATTTCGACTAGTTTAATTGCTAGAGGGTACTCGGAATAAGAGAAGAAATGACATGAAAGATCATACAATGTTAGATAGCCATATAGTGGGTTTAGACTTAAATAAGCGTAATTGAAAGGTTTAATGGGTTTATGACTTTTTGGGTAATTTTTTTGAGAATCATTAGCGGATAATATCAACCCCCAGAGAACCGACTAGCAAAGGTGGGAATAAAATTTTGTCCATTTTCTCTTTCCACCTTTAGGCCGACCTAACTTTACCTTATCGAGGGGGGTAGTGATTAATCGAAATCACTTTCGCGACTTCTTGAATCCCAGCAAACTATTCATTTTTAGTGCGTTAGATCTGGACTGTTGATTTCGATAGACCTTATATTTAATCTCACATAAAATGTACACTCTTTAACGTCAGGTTCAATTTAGTACGTACGTGTATCACATCCAATAAATGATTCCTTACTTGAATTCCCTCTACTTTCAACGTGGCACGTGTGTGGCTCTCATTCCTTCATATACCGTCACCACAAGACAAAACAGATAATGAAAAGCCCAGACCATGATTAAACCCTTTCTCTCACTACCTCGTCATTCCTAGTCCCTTCTCTCTCTCCATCTCGTTCTTGTTTCACTTCCCTTGCTATGCTGAGCATCGAACATCATCGTCAGAGGCCTACCACAAGCAGCGGATCAATCGCCGACGACGATGAGCAACACTTCAGAGACATCCACGCTCTGACCCCGCCGCCCCTGCCCCCGCCGCCCCCTTCCTCCACCGGTGGCCGCAGGAGAGACGCGTGGGAGCGGTCGTCCTCTCTGTCCATGGGCAGCGACGTGGCCTCGAGCGAGAACTTCACCACCATGAGCAGAGAGTTCAACGCACTCGTCATCGCCGGTAAGGCCGCCAACATCATCTCACTAGATTTGCTTGATTTAGTTGAAGTGTGCAACCGTTAAGCGTTTAAACTGTTAGAGAACGAGGCTGATCGTACAGATAACTTCTCCGAAGCTTTTGACGGATCGCACGACCGTGTGCTCTAAATCTTTCACGATCATAGAGCGATGCGAATTCCACTGTATGATGATTCGTACGCGATCTATATAAAGAATTGGGTATATAGGATGACACGACACGAACTGCATGGCGTCTTGCAGGCTCTACGATCAACACCGAGACCGAGCAGGGGTCGAGCAACAACGCGAACGGGAACAACCTGGCGATGATCGGAGAAGAAGACGACGGCATCCCGGTGGAGGAGACGAACCCGCTCGCGATCGTCCCGGACAACAATCCCCTGGAGGAGTTCGGGCGGAGCAGCAGCTCTTCGAGGCGCGCGGGGCCGAGTGCGAGCGGCGGCCCGGGGGACCAGGTGACGGTGCAGAGTGTGAAGAAGGAGGAGGTGGAGGCGAAGATAGGCGCGTGGCAGAACGCGAAGGTGGCCAAGATAAACAACCGGTTCAAGCGGGAGGACGCCGTCATCGGGGGCTGGGAGAGCGAGCACGTCCACAAGGCCTCTTCTTGGATGAAGAAGGTCGAGGTACGTGGCGCTTGGTTGATCAATATGATTTTCACGAGCACTTTCTGAGGTTAATTATTTTATTTTATGATTTATTCAGCTTTAACTGGTGTGGTGGCTTAACGTTAATCACTCCAAAATGAGGATCCTTTTGACCAGAGGATGGTCTATTTGTCGGATGCATGCGTATCAATTGCATGGACGTTAATGCAACTCAATGATTGAAAGAGTATAGTTTAAGCTTAAGCCCTAAAAGTCTCCTCAAGTTGAGGTCTTCGTTACCTGACGAGATTATTGCCTAGTCTCTCGCTAATACCAAGTTAATCGATAGGATCGATTTTCTTATATATAGGAAGCTGTTAGGATTTTGGCTTGTTGGTGGTGATCACTTAGATCGATATGAATTAATGAATTTGATTGATGCTGCAGAGGAAGCTGGAGGAGAAGAGGGCGAGAGCGCTGGAGAAGATGCAGAACGACATCGCGAAAGCCCGCCGGAAGGCGGAGGAGAGGCGGGCGAGCGCGGAGGCCAAGCGAGGGACCAAAGTCGCCAGGGTCCTCGAGATCGCCAACCTGATGAGGGCCGTCGGCCGAGCCCCGGTCAAGAGGTCCTTCTTCTGATATGTTGTAGAAACATATATACCAAAAGTCAGAACAACAAAAGGCCAAAAAAAAAATAGAGGGTGTTGAGTGTAATTATGTTTAATTATGGGCATGGAAAAATAAGTGCCCCTTCAAATTTCAGGCCTCCTTCGACCTTTTTCAGAAACGGGGCAATATTGGAAGGTGAGCGTGTTCGACTTTGGACCGTTTTTTAAGCTTAGGAGCTGTGAATTGAATGGTTGTTTGCCAAGGACTCTTTTGGTGGGTCCGTTGTGTCATCAATTGCTTTTTTTAAATTTGCCTTCTTGAAAGGGGCAACGTGTGTATTGGCCGATATTACCCAACAACGAGTGTCTTATACGTATCGTTAAATTGAACCCGGATCGTCAAATTTGATGGGTCTCTTGTGGAATTCACATAGGATTCGTCAGATTTAACGGTTTGAATTCAATTTAGCATGTGATGAATTCAAAGGACAGCCTTTTTGTACATACACGGTCTTGGTGGGTGAAGAAGTTGATGCCAATTTGGCTTAATGGTTGACCTAAAGCTGATGGTTCGGTGCATCTGCTTTTGGTGATGTGATGTTATTTTGTGTATCAATCAATCTGTCTAATAATTTTGGCTGCTTATCTACTGTGAAGTCACGAGCTCTGAAAAAATTGTAATTTCACTTTGATTTCAATTTTGCTAAACTTCCATTTACAAGAGGAGTTTTGGTGGGGCCATCTTTGTATAATTTTACGACTATAGTGCAGATGAACCCACCTGCGCATGACCGAGTTGGTGGGCGTTTTCTTTCCCTCGAAAAGGTTAAAAAAAAAGTCACGAGCTCTGAAAATATTGCAATTTCACTTTGATTTCAATTTGGCTAAACTTCCATTTACAAGAGGAGTTTTGGTGGGGCCATCTTTGTATAGTTTTACCACTATAGTGCAGATGGACGATGTGTAACTAATGTCCCTGTCCCTGTTATGATGGTATGAGTAATCGAGGCACACTTTAATGCTCTCTGTATGGGAATGGGAAAGGAGAAAAAATGGAGGGATTGAAAATTTAAGTAATAAATTTATAACTTTTGAGATATCTGTGAAAGGAGAGGGGAGGATAATTTCGAAATTTGTGGTAATTTCTCTCAAAAATTTCTTCAGCTTAGTGTCCCAAACTTAGATTTTTGCCTTTTGGCTCGTTCGAGCATAACATCTGGCAACGTATGCTGAGAATTCTATCTTAGGAATATGCCTAAGAAGATTTCCTTATCAGCCGAAAATATAGGAGGATAAGAACGAACAAGTACACTTCCCCTCTTAGACAATTGTATGGATAGAGTAGATGCACTCTATGCTTGTGTGCACCGTTATGGATTGCGTTTGGTTCGGCGTTTTGTAAGTCTTTTGGGACTCCAAATGTCCCTGTGCCAAAGTTTAACATTTATAAAATCCTTCGACCCGATGCAATTCTTACCCAGCATTTGTATTACAGCATTTTTGGAATGCAACAAGTGGGTGAATGTATTTTTTTCCTTCTAATCTTGTCCTCGTTGAAAGATTTTCATGCTCCATTTTTACCCATGCTAAAGATAGATTGTGGTTAAGATACCCGGATGAGCTAGAGGGACGCCGGTGAAGGGTTAACTAGGGTTGCGTGACACCGGCGTCACCTCACCAAGGGTCGCACCACCTCGGCAGCCCGTCACCTAGGACATGCGACGTTAGCGGCCCCTTGCCTAGGGTCACACTACCTCGACGTTTACTAGACGGGGTTGCATTACTTCTCACCTGGTGTCACGTGACCTTGGCGGCGCTCCCCTGGGGATGCACTGACATTTGATCTATCTGGCTCCCCAAAGGTCGTGCAACCTCGACGTCGCCTTGTCTAGGGTCCCGTGATCCCAAGGACAAAATGCAAGGTTGTGTAAAAGAATTGTTTATCAAATGCTATTTATGTTTCACGAAACCCCTTCAGTCTAAAACCCTTTGCGCAAACACAAAGTTTTTAGGCAAAAACCGAACCAAATGCAGCAAATCCGATAAAGTGTTCACGGATTTTCAATCCCGTCAATGGATCAAGGATATACATATATCCAATTCACGAGCGAAGAGAAGCCCACCATTTTCTAGCTAGAGACACACCAATTCAAACGCACCCAAGTCCTTTGCATTATTTTGTGGTGAAAGAAAGATATTTTCCCCCCTATTCCTCCTTATTCAAAACATAGGAAATCTCCCTTTCGATGTGCTGGCCACTATTCAGTCTCATACTGGTTTCTCTCAGAGTTTTGTTTTCAAGTGCACTTATCCAACGATATAGATTAAATTGCGCGTCTCTTTAACTATATGGATTAGTGCCTTTTCGTTCCGCAAAATCCGCTACTTTAGACCTATCAACACTGTTTATCGACAGATATAAGAGAATCCTCGAAGTATGCGCAAGAACTGATTAGATGAAAGTGGATGCAAATTCGGAATTAAATACCACCGAAAGTGATTTGGAACAAATCTTTCATGGGGCCGACTCATACACTCGCACCAGTAAAGCAACTCTCTCTTTTGGAATGTCAACTTTTATCGATTGGAAAGGCCAACGCGGTCGTTTTTTAAACTAACATTAATCGCATTGCAGTGTTACTACTCTCTGCTGTCTGACGACAAATTAGAAGAAAACTATATTTACAAGTGTTAATATGTCGCGACAAAAATATAGATGTGATATGTGAATGATAAAATATTAGCACGGTACATCATCGATTGACTGATGAAAAGACGTTGAATGAACTCAAAATCGAAGTATTTTTCCTTTGAATGTCGGGCGGTGTATGTTTTTTTTACATGTATACTACTTTATGCTTTGATAAAACGAAATATTTTTCATAAGTCTAGGATATGTACGGGAGACGGAAGTTTTATTGAGAATCACATGTGTATGCATAACCTACGGTTAACAAGTGATTTTGCTTAAGAATGGAATGGGGACTGATTCTTAATCGTGTCGTGCTGTTTAATTGCAGCATGAAGTATTGTGGTTGACTAATCGACATGACACACTTCCCAACCAATCTTGCACTTGAATTTCAAAAAACTCTCATCGTCTCGTTAGTTGTTTCTTCGAGTATTGCCGTCGCATGATGTACCCGATGCACGACATATCTTTTTCCCATTTCATTTGTTAAGAAATCTTCAACTCTCCAACTCAATCTTCTCTCCAATCTCCAAGGGCCAATGTCTCGTTGGCCCACAAAACCAATCGTTCCGGCGGGTGGCCCATTGTTCCCGTCCATGGGCCGAGGAACGAAGGCCCAAAGCAACCAATAGGCATGGCCTAAGAGTGTAGCACGTGGATCCTGCGAGATGGGCCGGTCCATGGACGGCCGGGGCAGCCCATGCTTTGCATGGGTTTTACATTTAAATAATAGTTAGATTTTTTTGTTTCTTCTGGGAAATATATAAGATATTTTTTTATATGTAAATACAAGAAAATATTCTAATGACAAATACTGATTGTAAAACGTCCCACATCATTGATGCACAAAAAACCCACTTGAAATTGTACGTATTTAACGTAAAAAAAAATCACATCTAGTATAATATATTATTCAGAAATCTTCTTACTATACTTTTTCCCTGATAAAAGCCTTTTAATTTTATTAGGTACAGAAAAGGATCATATCATTACAATGAAAGCATTAACTGCGTGAAAACTAGACCTGTCAAATTGGTGAGTCAGGTCGGGTTTGGATTGGGTCACAAATATTGGTCTGACCCAGATTGACCCATTAACTCGTTTATGACTCATTTATGCGCGATCCAATTTTCTTGACCCCTACCCGACCCATATTGTTAAAAAACTTTCATATTTAACTAAATCTAGGAAAACTCATACCTAAATTGATATGAGAGTGTGAAAGTAGGATTGAGTGAGGGTGAAAAAGATGAGTTGAGTTTAAATAAATTGTAAACCCATTTATGATCAATTTACGACCCATTTAACACCCATATTATATCCATATCCATTTACGCCCCATTTACTAAATATAACTAATCAATTTATGACTCATTTATTAATATATGGGTTAAAAAATTGATTTATGATCCATTTTGACATGTGTAGTGAAAACCAATTTTAGTATACTGTATGTTGCGGAATATATTTTAGTTTTAATACTTTTCGAATATTTGTTTATTACTTAATGACTTTCTTTGCATCATATTTAGTACATTTAATATTTAAAAATTCTATTTTACTATAAGATATTAGTTTAGATCAGGCTAGACTCTCAGATGTCCGCCCGAGCCGAGAGAGGAGCCCCGGTAACCCCAAAAACGAACAAAAATACGCAGATAAATAAAAAAAGCGCACGCGACGACAAATCAACAGGAGCCACGTACCAGGAGCCGTCCACGTCACCCTCCAAGTGGGCCACACCGTCGACGTGGACGAACACTGGGCCGCAACTAAAAAAACCCAGGAGAAGAAGATGGCGATGAAGCGAAGCGCAGCACCACCACCACCACCGCCATCGATTGACGGCCTCATTTGCGAAAGCGCTTCCGCCTCGCTCTCTCCCCCGCGCGCGCGCGCGCACACACGCACTGCAATTGCAGAGAGAGTGAGAGCAAGAAGGAGGAAGAGGAAGAAGAAAGATGGAGATGGCGCTCGGCTTCCGCAGTCCTTCGCGTGCCCTGCTAAACCCTGGCGCGAGAGGTCCCCGCCCTTCTCCTCCTCCTCAGCCGGCGAAGCAGCTCTTCGGTCTCGGCACGGGCGGCTTATCTTCGCCCCCCCTCGCCTCCGGGACGAGCCTCCTCCGGTGCCGCTCCGAGCGTCGAGTTCGCCGCCCCCGCCCCATCGCTTGCTCCGCCGCTCAGACCGCGGAGACCCCTACCGGTACGTTTTTCGGGAAACTCCGAGTCGCCGGTTTGCGTCGCCGCCGTCGCGGCGGGGGAGGAGATGAATACTCGCTACTTGATATCATGTAACGTGCGTGCAAGGATGCAATTTCGTTTTTGTCCTTGTTCCGGGGTTCTGATTTCTTAGTTGGCAGAAAGAGGCTTCTTCCTGGTGGAAAAAATGAAATTGTCGCGACTGGAGAAATGGCGAGAGATTTTGATTTTTTAGATCATCAGTGCGTCGAGAGAGTATTGATGCCGAAATTTTGTTCTGGCAGAGAAGAAGAGCCAGTTGATGAGGAGAAGAGACATAAGGAATATAGCCATTGTTGCGCATGTCGACCACGGGAAAACAACTTTGGTGGATTCTATGTTGAGGCAAGCCAAGGTACGGCTCGAAATCGCTTTTTATAATCTGACTGCGGGAAGCAAAGTGCTCCAAAGACTCCAGACATTGGTCTTCGGCAGTTGTATATCTGAACCAGGAGCGCATTCTCTTCCGAGGGAATGAGATATTGCTGACGAGCGTATCGGTTTCTCATTGGCAGGTTTTCCGTGATAATCAATTCGTGCAAGAAAGGATAATGGACTCGAATGATCTTGAACGCGAAAGGGGAATTACAATTCTTAGCAAAAACACTTCTATTAATTACAAAGACACGAAAATTAACATAATCGACACACCGGGACACTCTGACTTTGGAGGTGAAGTGGAACGCATCCTTAATATGGTGGAAGGAGTGCTGCTCGTGGTAATTTTTTCCATTTTCCCTTGTTGGTCGTGTTATGCAGTTCTTGTGGTTTCTGAAAAAGGAAACCTAAATTATCTCATAATTGATGATTATCATTTTAGAAAAGCGGCAGTCTTAGTGCTGCGATAAGATAATTTAGCTACAGAGCAAGATGATATGGTAATGGCTGCATTTATAGATAAATCTTAAACCCAAAATTAAGGAAATTTGAAACCCTGTGCACATCTGGATTCCTGACTTTATTTTATTCGACAGAGTTTGTCACTGAGTAAAAACTATGGTTTCCTCCGATTGTTCACTTCAGAACATTGTGCATTTGATGCTTTGCTACTTCCCTTGTCTGTAATGTACTTTCGTGTGAATAGATGGTAAGAAAGACCTTATTTGAATCGCATATTCAATTCTACACTAGAAGGCATGTACTTTCGTCCGTTAGTTAGTTGTTTCTTTACATCAAATGACAGCCGATCCTCCCTTGTTGTTTGTCTCTGTTTTACTTTCTTTCATCTGTGTGGTTGATAAGTGTTTACTCCAGTGTTAATTTTAATGCACATCACTCCTTTCTCGTAGGTGGATTCTGTTGAAGGTCCTATGCCACAAACAAGATTTGTCCTGAAGAAGGCATTGGAATTTGGTCATGCTGTAGTTGTTGTCGTCAATAAGATTGATAGACCATCTGCTCGTCCAGATTTTGTCATCAACTCCACTTTTGAATTGTTCATTGAACTAAATGCGACAGATGAACAGGTACTTGTGACATGTACAGGAAGACAATCATATCTCTGTTGTGACGCGTCAATAGATAAAATCTAGGTCGCTGAAGTATTTTTGTATAGTAGTAATAGTTTCTGGTAGTCTTGATGGAGTTACCCATCAAGATTATTGTTAAGTCCTTTTGGCTCTTATCTACATGGTTACCGTCAGAATCTAAACATGGGTAATTGGGATTTTATTATTCTTTAATTACTGTTCCTCTTTTATTTTTTGGGTCTTAAGAACTGGATTCATCAGAAGTTAATTCATCTAGATGTGATGTGCGTGCAGTGTGATTTCCAAGCAATATATGCTAGTGGTATTAAAGGAAAAGCTGGGCTTTCCCCCGATAATTTGGCGGAAGACCTTAGCCCACTTTTTGAGGCGATAATCAGATGTATACCCGGACCACGTATTGACAAAGATGGCGCATTACAAATGCTTGTCAGTGGTTCTACACCTTCATAGCCTCTCTCTCTCTCTCTCTCAAATCTATCATGCCATTTTCATCATTGTTATTAGCTGTCTGATGTTGCTATTATGTGCTACCTTATATTGCGCTAGGAAGAAAAAATAATTTCCTGGACTTGTCTACAAACTAGAACACGGATACTTTTTACCTTTTTACACAAATTTCATTGTTAGGTAACAGATGGAGTTTAACATAATGCTGGTCAGCAAGTCTAGAAGATAAGTAGAAATGAACGAGTCTCTTGTTCTCTCAAGTTATAGATACTTTGCTTGGAATTGATTAAGTAAGCTTGATTGTCAACATATCATGAATCCAGTAATGTGTAACAATCACTTTTTGTTATTTTAGGTCACAAATATTGAGTATGATGAACATAAAGGACGAATAGCTATTGGGCGCTTGCATGCTGGGACTTTGAAGAAGGGCACTGATGTGAAGGTACAGCTCGAAAGCTCAAATTTTTTCATGGATGTCTTTCCTTTTCCTTCTCTTGAACTTTTAGCTTTGCTAGTCTTTCAAAGATAGTTTACAGCCGGAACTTCCCTCAACCTTAGTTAGTGACGATCAGATAATTGTGTAAAACTAGCGCAGCGGACATATTGGCTTTAGTCGGTCCACTGTTATTGGAAATACATGCTAATGAAGTGTTCGTTGGTTATGACTCCATTTTGTAGAAAATGCACTGATGAGTCAGTGAAGGAGTTGTCTGCTATTTCAGGGACCTTTTTCTTGAATTTAATCTTGAGATGAGTTTAGTTTGGGACATTTTTCTTATATGCTTTAGTCTTGATGATTCATTTGCTAGAATTGAGAGATTAGTAACTCGTGCTCAAACGGTCTTCGTTAATAGTTGTCTTTTTCATCAACCTGAGATTCTAATCTTATGCTTCTCAATGGAAAATTATTGAATCCTTCCAATTCAATATCTGAATCCACCAAAGTTTATATGACTTACTTTCTTGTCACAAAAACAGGAATTTAATATAAATACTCTATAATTTAGCAACTATTATTCTGTATATAGCCTAACCACGATATCCTTGTGGACAGTCTTTGTTTGAAAGCTTATACACAACTACAGATGCATCGTATTTATCATGGGTATAGCTTGCTTGCTCATTATCCTGATTGAATTTAATTTGTGATATAGTCTAAAAAATTCTTGTATGCCTATTATTGACCTTGTAAGAGGCCACAACCCTGGGATGTGAACCAGAATTGGCTGTATGCTTGTCAGAAAGAAAGAAAGTTTGCTCTCTTTTCTGACTATTTTGAAGTTGTTTCTTGTTTAGGTATGCACTTCAGAAGATTCTTGTCGATATGCAAGAGTTAGTGAGCTTTTTGTGTATGAAAAATTTATTAGAATTCCTGTAGAAAGTGTCGAAGCGGGTGATATATGTGCAGTCTGTGGCGTCAACGATATCCAGGTAATTTATTCATTTCTGACATGATGATCACAATAATGTTCAGCTATCTTTCTGCTTTGTGACTAGCATCTAATCTGCTCAGATTGGAGAGACAATTGCTGATAAAACATCAGGGAAGCCATTACCTGCCATCAAGGTGGAGGAACCGACAGTGAAAATGTCATTTTCTATAAACATATCACCATTTGTTGGACGTGAGGTATGCTATTTGAACAGTAATATACTGGAAGTCATTTGGGGCCTACTTGTCAATTGTAACATAAAATTGCGGCATGGATAGATACATCGTTCTTTGCTAGGTTCTCTTTTTTAGAGTACTGGGAGTCTACCACATGTTAACCAGATCTGCTTTATCTAAGAATTTCATGGCAAGAGCACACATATTCTTTTACTAAAAAATCTTGTCCTTAATTAATGTCCCTGGATTATCCTCTGTAATATTGCATCTCCTACGGCGTTACGATTTACTGCTAAAATTGGTGCGTAAAGGTCCTCTAGGAAATTGTTGAAGTAGCTTGTTTGATTTGACAGTTTTCATATGTCTGGCGATGTGTGCCCCTCTGCAGCTTGACTATAGTTGTACTTGTAAAACCTTTCTAGCAGTTTGACTGGAAGTTTGAGATTAGGAGACTAGAGATTCAACTTTTTTTCTTATGGGATCAAAGCGGAAGCTCCTGATTTCAAAACTTTCTAGGTTTCTATGTGCCTCCCCTATTATGTATTTCCATGCTTTAGTATCAAGTGTCCAGCCTATGACTGAGGGGGAGTGTTGAAGTGTTTAAATATTAAATTACGCATTTATCTAATAGCTTAAGGTTTTAAAATAGTTGACGGTGATCCCACAAAATTTCACATCTTCAGACCTTACGAGTTATGCATATGTTTCCTTACTATTTATAGGAAATAATAGGTTAAGTGTGGGTCCCAAAGTTGGTGTTATTGAGACCCTTGTCTATCTCCGTACTCTTATCACTTTAGCGAAAGCAGCTTAGAAGTAAGATAGATCTGTGTCTTCAGTAAGGCTTAATAGATGCACAGAGGATTGTTTGCTTTATCCCTGGACACTCCATTATTTTGCCATTTTGTCTGTCTGCTTTTCCTTTGTTTCTTATTGGGATGGCATGTTAGTATTTGGATTGCCAGTGAAAATATTGTGGAAGACTCGTGTGGGGGAATTAAATTTTGTTTTTCAGGGAAAATATGTTACTAGTCGGAACTTACGTGATCGACTATATCGTGAACTTGAGCGGAATTTGGCAATGAAAGTTGAAGATGGTGAAACTTCTGATACCTTCATAGTCAGTGGGCGTGGTACCTTGCATATCACCATTCTGATTGAAAACATGTAAGTGTACTCCCTCTCCTTTCGATTCTCATGTATGTATGCCTACGCACTCATTAATGCCTTTCAGGCGAAGAGAAGGATATGAATTCATGGTGGGCCCTCCTAAGGTCATTAGCAAAAAGGTGAATGACAAGTTGCTGGAGCCATTTGAGGTGAGTGCCTAATTATCATTTCTTCGCAATTAATACTTTCAATACTGATATACCTTCTATCTCTGCGGAACCCTCGGATGACTTTCTATTTGCTGAAATCAAGTGAGGACATTACTGGTAGAGAGAATTTAGAGAGAGTACTGGAGGATCTGCATCTTCTGTTATGTATTGAAATAAACCCATGTTCCTGCACCAGATATTAGGGTTCTTGCCGCTATTTAACTTAGAAACTTGATTCTATTCACATGGAGAACTATGCTTCAAAAATTAGGTGATCTTGATGTTTGATATCCATGCCAGATTGCTACGGTGGAGGTACCAGAAGAGCACATGGGATCTGTCGTTGAACTTCTTGGCAGAAGGCGTGGGCAGATGTTTGATATGGAGGGGGTCGGGTTTGTAAAACAATTTCTCTCTTCTGTCTGTTATTTACATGACCAAACTTTGAGGTTTCTTTTTGTAAGTGTATATATTGCAAATTTACTACAGCATTCAAAATGCATGTCAGATGCATAAATGACAACTTATGGAAGAAGTTGTTTGCATAGCCGTTTTGGTGCCTGGTGGCACCATATTTGATCATTGTATGGTAAATAATGCTATGCTAGTCAAACTTTTGTGCTTCCATCTGTAAAAATGAATGATGCTATCTGCTCATTGGAGATCTTTAGATTTTAGCGTTCTTGCACACCATTGCATGCTATATGAGGATAGACATAATTTGTGAGATGAGATGCTTTCGCAGGCCCATGTTTAGATAGTTCTTAAGATCTTTGATTCCTGAAGATATTTAATCGGCACTGAAACACATTTGTTTTACTGGACTTTTCTTAGTTGCAGCTAGAATAGAGCAGATCAGCTTTAGTCTTGGTAGAATGGTGCTTGGCTCTTCACAATATGTTGTTTAATTGAATTGCTGACTGCTGCTGCTTCCTTGATCATTAGGGTCTCTCTCCAGTTTGTTTGTTGTGTGAAAACTTGATTTTGATCTTAATTTAGGTGAACTTTTTTGTCTTGCAGGTCAGAGGGAACTACTTTGCTTAGATATAAGATACCAACTCGTGGCCTTCTTGGACTGCGAAATGCAATTTTAACTGCTTCTCGGGGAACGGCTATTCTCAACACAATATTCGATAGCTACGGTCCTTGGGCTGGTGATATCAACACTCGGGATCAAGGATCATTGGTAACTTTTTTTCTCGGGAATTTTGTTATTAGTTTAGACTTAAAACCATGTGCATAAATTATACTTCCACGCTTTTATTAACCAAAACCTTCTCTCTCTACCTTTCTCTGTTTGATAGTGACCTATAAGACTAATTTTCAGGTTGCTTTTGAGGATGGAACAAGTACATCCTATGCCCTTGCAAGTTCTCAAGAGAGGGGTCAGATGTTTATTGGTCCTGGCGTGGATGTTTATAAAGGTCAAATTGTAGGAATTCATCAGCGTCCAGGGGATCTATCCCTCAATGTCTGCAAGAAAAAGGCAGCAACCAATGTACGCTCTAACAAGGAACAAACTGGTGAGAAGCAGCTATACTAAAGTTGTGCATTTTCATCCTATTACCTGTCAATAAATAGGCAGGAGCATTTATGTGAAGTTCCTAAATTATCAAGTTAGAGTTTGCTTCTCATCTTTGAGATGTTGATTGGTCCCAATTAATAAAGACAGAATGTCACTTCAATTGATCAGCTGCAGTTACATTTATCTTTTGTGCATTTTGGTTACACAAGTTAAAAATTTATATCTCCTAATGGGTATCTGGATTTGCGTCATAACTTCATCTTTGATCAATTATAGTGGCAAAAATTCTAGAAGTTCATCTCTGTTAAATTTCAAGTACCTACATCATATACATGTATTTGTTATCTGGAAAGAGGCTAATATTAGATTGCTCAAATGAAGTTTTGATCCTCTCTTTTATTTGGGATGTCACTGTAAACTTCTCAGCTGGTCACATGCAAGCAGTAGTGTAGCATTCTCCAATCTGATCATTTAATATTTTATTCCCTTTTGCAGTGGTGCTTGATACGCCAATGGATTATAGTTTGGACGACTGCATAGAATATATTCAGGAAGACGAACTGGTGGAGGTGACTCCCTTAAGTATCCGGATGTGCAAAAATCCTAAACTTTCAAAGAAGCCTAGGTGAAACTTGCAAGAAGTCGAGGTGAAGGTGAACAGCTGAACATCTGCTTGTTGCCTTATTAGTCATCTGCAGGTCGAGCAACATATCTGTCAAGTTTACATGTTGCTCTCTCTCTCTCGCTCACTTTCTGCGGGAGGGTATATAGTGAATGTTGGAAGCTCTCTACACAAGCTACTTTTGGCGATCCACCTCATTTGGTCATCCAGATCATGCCCATTTTTTTTTAACCTTTCTAACTCCTAGCGAGTTCATACATACAGAAAGGGACATCAAGCACTGTATCATTGCCAATTGGAGGTCATAGTTAAATGTACTACTAATTTTGCACATCGATAGTGAAGCATAGAATATACCCTTGTATTCTTTCACCCGAACGAATCATACAATGGAGATCTGCAGAGATTCACTGCCATGTCTTTCTTCACACCGTCGTACAGCCACTTTTTTTGCTTGCTCGAGTCCGCGGTAAGCTTTATTTGTTCATATATGATTTTTCTGCATATGCTGTCATACAATCACCGTCGATCTCAAGTGCCTCTTTGTGGCGTGTCCTGTTGTTTCTGTCATCTCTTTCTTCTGTCTTAGTGATGGAGGGATTTGTTCATATATGATTTTTCTGCATATGCTGTCATACAAAAACCGTTGATCTCAAGTGCCTCTTTTTGGCGTGTCCTGTTGTTTCTGTCATCTCTTTCTTCTGTCTTAGCGATGGAGTGTGGAAAGGTTCAGTGGTTCGTGGCATGTTGATATTTCATGAATGGAAAGTGTAAAAGCCATCTTTCTAGAAACCTTGCTTTTGCATCCATCTATTCAATGAACGAGACGAGTCATTAGCTTTATTCCATCGTACCTCGTCTTACTTGCATATACTCGACGCATTAGGGAAATTTCCCAACATCTAGAACGACAAGTACTCTTCCGTGGATGTTTGCCAAGTCTCCATGACCAAGCATCTCTTAATCCATGGAGTGGATCAAGAAGAAACCATCCTTCTCGCGCACGTGTGCATCTAGAAGGTGAATGGCACTGCACACGATGTCTTTATCTTTTATTGTTTTCTAGACCGCAAAGCATCGAAGACTATGTCAAAATTAATATCTATGACGTCTTGTCAAGGCAGATTCCGGTTCAATAATCTCCAATCATCAAACGGCTGGACATGGAGATCGGGACGACTTTTATTCACCATATTCGGTCGCTTTGCTTTGTTTGACCTTCGCGGTGCAAGATGACGAGAACGAGAAAGAAGAGCTTTCAGAAAAATGGCAGCGATGTTGACTTCTCCTCTCTCTCTTCCTCTTTTGGGGTTTAATTTACCGTCGTTTGGTGGAAGCCTTGATTTGAACGGGCCGTCATAAGTTGCCGAGGCGACGATGTCTCTGCACATACCATTCTTGACTCGGCATCCTCGCATGCTGTCCTGGTGGGACTTGGATCTTTCATCTAGCAAACAACCCTGTCAGTCCGCCCACCTTGCGGGCGAGTGAAATGACCAAGTTTTGTTTTGCTCCGTGTAAACGAAAACGTACTTTCTTTCCATCCCTTTTCATTTGAAATAAACGTACTGAAAGCTTTAAAACTTGCCACAAAAGTATAATTGAGTCCTAAAATTTTTGAAAAGTGCAATCAAGTCCTAAAACTAGTCAAAGTGCTGTCGAGTCCCAATCGAGCCCTAAAACTTTCAAAAAGTATAATTAACGGAATGACTTAATTGGGTCAATTTGATAAATTTGAGGACTTGATTGCACTTTTTGAAAGTTTTAGGACTTAATTATACTTTCATGACAAGTTTTAAGATTTGATTGTACTTTTTGAATGTTTTAAAACTCAATTGCACTTTCGTAACAAGTTTTAGGACTTCCAATGCATTTATCCCTTTTCATTTCGAAACAGCCCGTGTGTCTCGAGGCCAGGTTTTTGTCTCGAGTCTCGGTTCTATCAACGACCCTCTTCTGTGCATCTCGGTTTTATAGCTAACCCACGACGGTAGACTGGCAAAATGGTTGGAGTGTTGATGTGGTGGCCGAGTCGGCGCCGGTGAAAGCGTTTTGATCAGCGCGGCGTCGATTGACCTTATCCAAATGGAGGAGATCTTGGTCCCGCAATGGGAGCCCGACGTTCATAAAATGCGACACCCAAATATCCCAGCACTCGCCAACAACTAGGTCTCTCTATTTGTCGTTCTTTCTATTCTGTCCATCTTCTTTGCAGCAACCTCCTGTATCAGAAACAATGAGAGGTCAATGGATTGGTTGAGGATTAGAAAGAACTTTAGCTCATCAAGCTTATTACAAGAGAAAGGGTAAGACAACTTTGCAAATACAAAGACCACCTCGCATCACACTAATGAAGGCTAATAATGCCCTAGGACAATAGCACTCTTCTACACTTTCTAAAGTCAGAGAATAAGCTAACGCGAAAGAATAAAGGCTACGAACAAGAACACTTTAGCAGATGGTCGATGGACCATTCAAAGAATTCAAAAGGACTGACGCGCCCCACCAATTCCATCATCCTCCGCCTTAGAATAATAAGTTAGAACCACGAGAAGAGACCCACGCGAAGGTGGCGAACACTAAATTAGTAGGGTAGGAAGTTTGGTAAGGTCCATTATGGGCATTAGTATTATACACAAGCGCATCTCATTCGGACCGATGATGTCGACGTGACAAAAGTAAAATAACGGCATCGTTAAACGAGCACAACGTATCGAATCATTAGTTACGCTTACCACTTGTCCACCGATATTTGTGTGTGTATATATATAGAATAGTTTTTGCCAACAGGCCCAAGCTACATTGCACCGATTTGTTCAGTTACATTTCTTTTTCTGCTGTTTGAACAAAAACGGAAAACGCAAAAATCTTTTGCCAATCATGAGTTTCTTTTCCTCTTTTTGTTGTTGTTTTTTTCCGGCTTGGGGCCAGTAAAAGCGCGAGCTGTCTGCTCCGTCGCTTCTTTCCCACTGTTGAATCCACGCTTGTTTCTTTACAACCCAGCAACGTTACGACCCTGTACCTTCTTTTAGCACTTTTTGGCTTTATAGTCCGGTCATTCAGCTCCTGTTTCTAACCTTGCATGCATCTCGCTCTTCATGTCATGTAAACCAAAGTACATACATACATGCACACGCACATATATATACACATACACATAGGTCAGAGACAAGTTCTTTGCGGCGTGAATGAGGAAGCCACTAGAGTAGTCAATAAGTGCCAACGTTCTTCATTCATTTCCCACCGGAAATAGTGAATTTGCCATTTCGACTTTCGAGTGGTTCACATGTTTCTCCCTATGCACACCGTCCAAACTCTCCCCCTCCCACTTGGGCAAATTCTTGACTCTTGGCCCTCGATTTTCTCCGCTTTTCGCTTAGTGGGTCTGTGTTGAATGTCAAAAGAACGACACGTCGGACATTGCCCGTCGAGGAAATCTCGTGATATGATCGAACGGCGGCGATCGGTCGATACCGATGACTGACGTGAGTCATTAGGTAAGAGGAGGTCACTCGATAGCGGATTCAGTTTAGAGAAGAAAAAAAGAAAGTAATGTCCTGTTAGATGAAAGATACTTTCGATGCACCAGCAAGCGCATTTGAGAAATCAGATAAAGCAGACCTTTTTTTCTTTGGAGATGTCTTTATAATCTTAAAAAATTGAGAAACCATGAACCACTAGGGGACACCGTTCCCACGTGGGAATAGGGAATTCGAAACTCCCCTCCTCCGAATAGGGGGATTTTATGGGTTTATGTGATTATTTTCCCGTCACTTCAACACCCAGCCGGCCAAAAAAAACGGAGAAAAATATGATATGATCGTAATCGAACGAATTATATAAAAATTTGTGGTGACATGAATATGTTTTCTTCTTTGTCTGTATCGATTATAATGCATTTTAGCTGCGTTTGATTGTTCGAATTCGGATCGCCAATATATCCTCGCATATGGATAAGAAAGGAAATCCCCCCACTCTAGCTACGGTTAATTAGAGGACTGTTGACATGTCAGCATGTCCACAATGATGTATAATAATAATAATAATAGAGAAAAAGAGAGAGAAAATTTCCAACGTTATGTTCAAAGTCAAAATCTTGGAGTTTGACCGGACAGCTGAAAGGTGGCGGTGCTTCTTAGATGCTAAAGTGGGGTGCTCGAATTGTCCAAATTACCCCTCCCCCACTTTCCCCACCCCTCCAGCTCGGAAGGAGACATGAAACGACTTTCTCTCCCCGCAAAAAGAAAGAAAAAAACATTGAAAAGAAAAGAAGAAAAGAAAAGCAGATAGAGAGAGAGAGAGAGGCCGTGTGCTTTGACGCAAATGCCCCTCGGGCGGGATCGAAATTACCTCAGATGACATCCTCCGTTATTTCCCATCCCTTGCATGTCATTTTTCCCATTTTTCCTATACAGGTAATGTCAGGCATACCAAACTAATTTGCTTGATAGTTTCGGTCACATTTGATGTTGGATAAAAGTTTGCTGCATCGTATTATCGTAACAACTCAGACACCGGTCCCGCTATATTTGAGCTGCTCGTCTTCGAATTTATCGACCGAAATTAATTATCGGTAAGAAGTTTGTAGCGTACTTAAAACGTTCACCAACCTCAACGCGTGGGATAGTCATCATCTTTCCACGCGTGAAACTCCGAATTAACCGAGCCACTCCACAAATCTATGAGATACATCGGTTAAATAGCAGCATTGTTGTTACGATTGCTTTTATTTCTTATCATGCAACTCGAAAAGCATGCTGTGCACAAGGTAGGCGAAAGTGCACAAGGTAGGTAATCCGACGGACATGTTCACAAGAGCTATCCCATCAACTAAGTTGTGATACTGTTCGGAATTAGTCAGCGCCTGCAACCGGGTGAGGAGCTTAGAGGGGCTCGGGAGAGATGGCGATCGATGGAGGACTAAGTTGGACTTCTCATCGAGGTGAATGGGTCCGTCGAGATAAACTATTCGAGAGAGATTTTACTGAGTAGTTCTCGTAGGGTTTATATTGATAGGGTATGATCATGATCGGAAAATCCTTATGAGTGAGTGTGATCGAGTGACTATTAATCTCTTCTTTTACCGATTAAAGTAAAGCCATCTCGTCCATCTTTCTTCACAGAGTACACAAAACCGTTGAATCCCCGTAACTATGCCGTGTCAAGTTCACCTCCTCGAGAAAATGTTCTGGTTTGGTTTGCATACGAGATCTTTTATTTATTTATTTATTTATGACCTAGTTGCGTATGCGATCTTGCGCAACAACACATGTTCTAGCGGCTTTTTCCCATGCCAAACTACGTCACATAAAACCCACATAATAAAAGAACAATTACCTAAGTCAAACCACGATTTTCGTCAAAAACACTTAATTGAAATGTTAGGCTTATTCCCCCCCCCCAAAAAAAAAAATACCAATTTTATCTTGAGCGATAATTCTGACTCGGAGAACTTTTTTTTGTCTCAATAAAAAGCACTAACTTTTACTCGAGTCCCAAATCTGATTCCTGTGATGTAAAATTTTCAAATTGCTCGGGTCAGATTTGGGACTTAAGTGAAAGTTGGTGATTTTTTATGTGATAAAAAAAGGATTCAGGTAATTGTCACTCAAGGTAAAGTTGGTATTTATTTTTTTTTCGAAATTAAGCCCCAAAATATTGTACTTTAATGCTCAACAGCTATCCAGATTATGCCTCCGTCATAATGTTGAAATTCGTTAGCTCATAACAACCACTTTGGAAGACTTTTATTTTTTTTATATTTTATGTGGTAGCTGGTGAGGTGGACAGTGAAACGATCTCTTGATTTTAATAGGGTTTGATTTTGGATGATAGTTATGTGATTTAACCAATAAAAAGCCAAGAAAATAAACAATCACCACACCATTCAGCCAACTGGCCAACAAAATGGATTTAGGGAAAAAAAAAAAGAAAGGAATTTTTGGACTATTATCGTTATTATTATTAATTATTATTTGGGTTAACACCACGAAAAACTCCAAACTGATATACATGTGATAAATTTACCCTCCGTTAATTTCCATTAAATTTTACTATCAAATTGCTTAGTTAAATAACACGTGACAATTTACGGATATACCAGTTTAGGGTTTTACCTTCTGTTTGTCACATGTATACTAGTTTGTGATTTTTTTTCGGATTAATCCAATTTAATGGGGGGTAAATTTGTTACGAATGTACTAGTTTGAGATTTTTGGTGGTAAAAAGTTAGTTTATGATAAATCTGTCACCGATGTACTCGTTTGAGGTTTTTTATGGTCAAAAAATTAATTTTGAGTAAATTTATTACGGATATACAAATTTGGGGTTTTTCGTGGTATTAATTATTATTATTAACATTATTTTGAGTGGTAAATGGGCTGGGATTATCCTTAATTTAATTTTTTTTCCAAATAAAGTAACTCGGTAATTAATTGACCGGGGGGGGGGGGGGTCCAGGTAATTTATTAGTAGGAAAATATACACTCCAAAGCTATTTGGGGGGTGGGGGAGAAGGTGAATTGACAGAAGTGCCCCTCGTCGCTCCTGTCCAATCGCCGCCGTCCTTTGTACGCACGTTGCGGGGAAATGCAGGCCGGCCGGCCGGCCGGCTTCCAGAAGGGCTCGCGCCATTCGGCCAATGAATCAGGTACACGTGTCGATCGCCTAACTTCAGAGGGTCGGCTTCTAGAAGGACTTTGTAGTGGAAGGCCTTTTTGTTTCCCCCGACTATATTTTTACGAGATAAAAAAAAGTTATTTGCGAGAATATCCTTTGGCTTGTCTAAAATCCGGAAGCTTGTGTACCAGGAGAGTAATACATTGACATGAGAAAATTCATGCATCGATTAAATTGTGCGCATCTTCGACGTGGTATAATCGATCAATCACGTCACTCACGAGACACGGGTGTCTAATCCGATTTTCTAACCCGAAACCCCCCCGTTTTTTTTTTCTCGAATACAAACGCACACCGCCAGCTACGGACTTCGTAGAGCCGTTGGCCCCTCCGAATATGTATACTTAAATCAAAATTTTTTTAATGACTGCTGTATTACCGATTTGCATTAAAATAGTACACTTTAAGTACAGTATAAAAAAATTAAAAAGAGGTTTCGGACGGAAAAATTATGTGAGATATTTCTTTCACAACCATTTTCTCTTGATTCTATGTTAACTTTGCGAGGACTGACGCATCGAACGATCGAAACGAAGAATCCCATGCAAAATAATTGTCCAACTTTGGACTCCAAATAACGACGGAGCGCGCATCGGAGCAATTATTTGATACATCGGGTGCACCAAAATGTTCGATGCAATTAAGCCAGTGAATTCGATGGATGGAATGATCCCACACGAGGTTCATCTGATCTAGACACTCGAAAGCAGTTAAGCCATTGAAGTCGAGTCGAGTGGCAGCATTTGTAGCGCGAGGACAAGGACATCGTTCGGATAGTCCAAGCGAAACCCAACGACGACGAAGAAGAAGAAGAAGGGAAAAAAAGATCATTGGCCACGATAATGACGGTCCATAATTCTCGAATAAATTAATGACGTGGAAATTCATACGCCCTATGCACAAAACCTCGCGGGACTCATCATGAAAACTGTGACCCCACGTATAATAACTACGTGGGGCGAACGTAATAATGACCATGCATGTGTGGTTGTAATCGATTGAGAATATGATAATAAAAGTTTAGTAACGAGTGCTCCGAAACACTTATCGGATAATAAAATATGCAAAAGTCCTCTTACCATACAATGTTAGGTTCGAATATCGGCTTTCCCCTTTCTTTTCTCGTAAATAAGCGGCCCATGTCTACGTAAGCCCGAATTTAGAATATTGATCGTTTATCGGACTTCATATTACAATATTGTTTGGATAACTATAAATTCCAAAACGATGTGTGCTTTCGTTTATATTTATTTTTTATACCGACAATTTATGCTCTAATTTATTTAATTTAAATATTTATTTAAAGTCAATTGCTATTTTCGGTGGCTTATACAATTTTTGTAATTTTTTTTTTGTCGAGGTCGTCTAACTGGTCAAGGGAACAGTACTCGCATCGCACGATCTTTCGTATACCGAGGTATCAGAAGACTCGCGCGGTGAAATCACATCGGTAATTCGAAAACCGAATTTAAATCTTCCTTTGTGGGTGAACGACGCTGGGTGGATGCTGCCGACCGAGTCGCGAAAGACGTCTTATTCGACGTACGTGGGCAAAGCAATTCGCGTACGAGTGAGTAGGGTGAGCATGGTTCCGAGGTAAAATTTGAAACCGGACTATTGGAAACCTGTCCGGTTCCAGGTTCAAAAAAATTGGAGAATTTATTTCGACGGGTAGGTTCCAGATTCTAGGTAGGTGGAATCTGGAACGTGGAACAAGTTTTTGTGTTTTTTTCCTTTTGTTTATGTCATCGCGCGATCCTGCGTTATTCTATGGCGTCTGATGATGAGTGTATAATTTGGAACCAAGAACCCACCGCCACGCCCCGCTTAATCATACAAAGCTGCCAATGTGAATCGAACCCTGACAAAATTGTAGACGAACCACACAATCCTAAGACGCCTAACTAATCTGAGAATGCACCACGCGCGTGTAAGTGATAGACTGAGACTTTTACTTTATTAATATTTCATATTTTTCGCGTGTCTAAATATAAGTTACGGTAAGTGGATTGTATCGACAAATGGTGGTCATAAAATGTGATGATTCACCTTAATCGTTTATAGAACCTGGATAGATCCTCAAACCGGCTCTGGAATCTGTGACACGGAAGGTTCCAGATCCAGGTTTCCAAAAAACGAGGAACGCATTCAAACGGGATAGGTTTCGAGTGTAACGTTTGTGGCGCCTACACGTGAGGAAATTAGGCGAAAGATACGGGGTTGTTAAATATGTCCCTGTTTTAACGGGAAAGAAATTCATTTGTTCGCATATATTGCGCGCGTCCCATTTGCGCAATAAAAACGAACAAGAGAAGAGAACCTTGAAGTCCAAATTTCCCATTTCACACATATATAGAGGCAGTGAGTGGCATTCTTGAAAATAGGGGGACAACTCAGGGGCCATTTCGTTCGACGGGACCGTTTTCCATCTCGATTTTCCTTTTTTGTCTTTCTTGACCCCAAGTTAAGTTCCTCCCCCCTCTCCCTCCCTCTCTTCTTTTACTATATCGATCAGGGGCGCAAAAACGATCCTTGTTTCGGACATTCTTGGTAAACAACAACATAAACAACAACAGAGGAGGAAACTCCCTCTCTCTCTCTCTCTCTCTCTCTGTCCCCCCTTCCCCTTTCTCTCTCTTCCTCTGTAAAACTTCAAAACAGCAGAGAGAGAGAGAGAGAGAGAGAGAGAGAGAGAGGAACGTGTCTGGGAAAGGTAGGAGAAGGGTCCCTTTCCTGTTTTTTTTCTTTTTTGCTTGTCCTCCCTCGTTCTCTCTCTCTCTCTCTGTCTATTATACATTTTTTTTTTCTTTCTTTTTGTTGGGTTTCTCTCTGAGGCGGGTTTGACCCCCCATCTTGGGGTTCTTCAGCAATGGTGGCTGGTCACGCGCTATATTCCTCTCCTCATCCTCTTCTCCTTCCTCCTCCAAAACCCTCCTCCCCATAAATTCCCTCCTCCATTTTCTTCGCAATTCGCACCTTCTCTCTCCCCCTCTCGGATTCTTGGGATTTTCCCCCCGTCTCTCCTTATCCGCGTTCCCGTGTTTTCCCGGGGAGAAAAAAAGAAGGAAACTTTCAGATCTCCCCACTTCGTCGTTTCCCGATCTGATCTCGACCCTGTTGAGCCTTTCGTCGGTTCTTGCGTAAAGCCGGGTTCTTGCGCCGGTCCCGGATCTGCAAAGGGTCGCTGGAAAACCCCTCCTCAGGAATTCGGACGCCCGTCCCGGCAGATCGCCCGGAGAGATCTTGATCGCCATCCATGGGGAATTGCTGCGCCACGCCCCAGGTCGACGGCGACGAGGCGAGGGGCAAGAAGAAGCCGAACCCTTTCGCGGTCGACTACGGCGTCAGTTACAACGTCAACGGCGGCAGCCACAAGCTCGCCGTCCTGAAGGACCCGACCGGGACCGACATCGGGCTCCGGTACGAGCTGGGCCGGGAGCTCGGGCGCGGCGAGTTCGGCATCACGTACCTGTGCACGGACAAGGAGACCGGGGAGGAGCTCGCGTGCAAGTCGATACTGAAGAAGAAGCTGAGGACCGCCGTGGACATCGAGGATGTGAGGAGGGAGGTGGCGATCATGAAGCACTTGCCCAAGCACCCGAACATCGTGACCCTGAAAGACACGTACGAGGACGACAGCGCGGTGCATTTGGTGATGGAGTTGTGCGAAGGAGGGGAGTTGTTCGACCGGATCGTCGCCAGGGGACACTACACGGAGCGTGCTGCCGCTGCGGTGATCAAGACGATCGTCGAAGTTATTCAGGTGTGTGCCTTTTTGTGTTTTATCAATAGATTTTGGGCTACTTCTTGGTACTTTGGATTGATGGCTAGATCTGATCCGTGGGTTACTGTCTGCCTTTTTAGATCGTGAATTCAAATTATCACGTCTTGTGTGTGATTTTTATTACTTGATCTCGTGGGGAGATGAAATCCAGCTTCAGGCCTGTTGATGATCGCCTTACTAGGTGAGTTAGGTGGCACTTGGCAGGTTACTAGGTGGACACATGTATCAAAGCCGTTCGATAAATCAGATTGTGACCGGAGGAAAGAATGTAAGCTAGTTAGTCAAACCGGTCGACAGATTAGGTGCTAATAAATTCTTGAAATCCGGAAATATGGAGAAGTGGTATTTAACTTCTTCATCCTGTTGGGAGTGTCAACGATGTTCTGGAAAAGAGTGTGAATTCAAGAAGGCGATACACCAGCTAGCTTTTTGCTTGTTTTAATGATAATAAGGCTATGAGCTAATGTTATGATGCCATCTCCTGTATGTCTTGACATTCCCAGTTGACGTGCTACTAGATTACTATAAATTTCACTATAGGAGAAGAGAAAGAGTGACCCAGCACTACGCTCTTGAATTTGGATTTACGAGGTTCATTATTGTTTGTGATGCTGCAGGTTTGCCACAAGCATGGGGTGATGCATCGGGATCTTAAGCCAGAGAATTTCTTGTTTGCTAACAAGAAGGAAACATCACCCTTGAAGGCAATTGATTTTGGTCTGTCAATGTTCTTTAATCCTGGTAAGTTTTGTGGTACAAATCTTCTGACTTCTTGTGTCCAATTAGATACATGTAGCTTAGATATTTTCCTGAACTTAGAGATTTCTTACAGGTGAAAAATTCAGCGAGATAGTTGGAAGTCCGTACTACATGGCTCCAGAGGTGCTTAGAAGGAATTATGGCCCAGAAGTGGATGTCTGGAGTGCCGGAGTGATCCTTTACATTCTGCTTTGTGGTGTCCCGCCTTTCTGGGCAGGTTGCTTCCTTTTCTCTTTTTGGGAATGAATTATTCATCAATGTCCGTTAGGGCTGTTATGGTTTGCAGCGAAATGGTGTATAAGTTCACAAAGATGGATCTGCTGTGACCTTGGATTCGTAAGATAATTGGAATGCCCATACCATTTAGTTAATGCCTGCATTGAATTCTTTGACCAAATGTCAGGCATGCTTGATCATACGAATCCTAGCTCACTTGGTAAGTTAGAGCGGTGGAGTGGAAGTCAGAATGCATAGTTTACGACGTAATAAGTTGGAAATTTAGTGTCTCAAATGGATTAGAATCAAAATTTTAGATACCAAATTAACATTTTGTTTTATCATCTTTTTCTCTTCTGAGGGAATCTTATGTTTGGACTGTCCACTCATGTTTTGTTTCAAATGCAGAGACGGAACAAGGAATCGCCCAAGCTATCATCAGGTCGGTTGTGGATTTCAAGAGGGACCCCTGGCCCAAAGTTTCAGCTAATGCAAAAGACCTTGTGAAGAAAATGCTGGATCCTGACCCGAAGAAGCGCCTTTCAGCTCAGGAAGTGCTAGGTGATGTTTGTTTTGTCGTTTTGGTTTCTGTTCGTGAGTGAATAATAATGCTTAGCTCCTGTCAAGGCAGATGGGCGAACACTTGAACTCACTGTGTTTCCTTGTTAAATGCAGATCATCCTTGGGTACAAAATGCAAAGAGGGCTCCAAATGTTTCTTTGGGTGAAACTGTGAGGGCAAGGCTCAAGCAATTCTCTGTGATGAATAAGCTCAAGAAACGAGCTCTTAAGGTATTATTGTGGCCTGTTGTTCTTTCTTCACCTAACACGCCAGTCAGCCAACAAAGATGGATTCTCCTTTGCATTTGTGCACGTTGCATTTTCTGAATTTGCATGGACTTTGTAAATAACAGGTAATAGCCGAGCATTTGTCTGTGGAGGAAGTTGCTGGCATAAAGGAGGGATTTCGATTGATGGACACAGACAATAAGGGCAAGATAAACATTGACGAGCTACGAGTTGGTTTAAACAAGCTTGGTCATCAGATCCCTGATGCAGATCTTCAAATTCTAATGGACGCCGTAAGTACAGCATTTCATAGTTTTAAAACCTTGTGCTATGTTTTTCTTTCATCTCTCTCTCTCTCTCTCTCTCTCTGTGATTCGGATTTAATAGTCTGGACTCTAGTCAGTTACTTATCAGCTTGCTTTCAACAGATAGCATTACCTAGTGAATGATAGCTTATTACTAGGAAAGAGAACTTGGCGGTTTCTGTTAAACATTTCTTTGAGACCTTACTCAATTCATGTATACTTGATTAGTTGCTGCTAACGATTGAGGCGGTTGTGGTTAAAAAGGTTTTTGTCTTAAGTAATCTGTGATTGGCGATGAGAAATGTGACTTTGCCATAGGCCTTCAGATGAGTGCAAGCAATGCAAATGCGGACCATCAATTACCTTTCATCAAGCCAATTCATACAAATCTGTGACTCAATAGTAGTAAACGGTGACTACATATCCATGTCAAGCCCTTTACATTTTGGAACTTAATATAAGAAGGATGGGGGAGAACTAGCTATGTATAAATATTTCTCTTCCAACTGCTTGTTCTTCACTTTGAAAGATGTTTAGCGGAGCAGACTTGTTAACTTTTCCAGATTTGCTTGTTGCAGGGTGATGTTGACCGGGATGGATATCTTGACTGCGGAGAATTCGTTGCTATATCTGTTCACTTGAGAAAGATGGGCAATGAAGATCATCTGCAAAAGGCGTTTGAGTTGTTTGATCAGAACCAAAGTGGATACATAGAGATTGAAGAACTGAGGAGTGCCTTGGCCGATGAAGTTGATACGAGTGAAGAAGTTGTTAGTGCCATCATGCAAGATGTAGATACGGACAAGGTTAGTTGGGCGAATGTGCACGTTTCCACTGCGATTATTCATCCTGTTTGCTTTTCATTTGGTTATCAAGTTGATTTTTCTACCTAAAACCAAAGCAGATTTTGCTGCAAAGTGCATAACTAATCATGCGTATGGTTAACTTAAAAGGCAAAAATGCATATGAGGATGCTTTGGAAATGCATGAAAACTGCCTATTGACAAATCGGAAAATTTACGATTTTCAAATTACCATTAATGAGTCTTAAAGTGCCCCAAAGGGCACTACCTGTCACTTTCTTGTTTTTTTTTTAGTTGATGCTTCTGCGTTTGCGAGAGTGTCTTAGTGGATTCAGAATTGTCATGTCCGGGGATCAATTAATGGGGCTCAAGCGTGAGCTTGATCGAATTAATTTGTCACGCTGGACTTTTCTGCCTGTGGACTCTAGTTCTAATCGTCACCTTATATCCTCGATATGCCCGTGTGACTCAGCCCTGAAATCTTTGATGCTAAATTCATTACGGCGTGGAACTTGTAGGATGGGCGTATCAGTTACGACGAGTTTGCGGCGATGATGAAGGCCGGCACGGATTGGAGAAAAGCGTCAAGGCAGTACTCAAGAGAGCGGTTCAACAATCTCAGCTTGAATTTGATCAGAGATGGATCATTGCAATTAAACAACGAGGCTAAGATGAGTTGATGAGGAGGATGTTATCCCGGACAACTATCTAAACGAGTAGGGGGGTATAGGGTACGAATGAGGAACAGTGTATTTGTTCCTTGGCTTTTCAGAAATTATTTTTCTTCGGTTTTTTTCGATAATTTTCTCCCCTTCCTTCTAGGGACCCGGGTATGAACAAATAGATGATTTGGGTCCCTGGCTGGTTAATGTCTTTCAAAGGAATTGCTTTGTGTTTCTTTGGTTTGTTGTTGTGAATTACACACTGGGAAGAGAGAAAGGAGTGGTGGAGGTTGAGAGAGGTGATTGGTGAATGTAAATATTGATTTGCCAAATACTATTTTCAGTATAGAGACAGTCGGTCGCTCTTGGTTTTGTTTAGGTGGTCTTTGCAGACCTTGTGGAAGAAGTATGTTTGTCTTGTCAAAAGAGCTCTCTCTACTTTGTTTATGGGATGCAGAAGGCCATTGGATCGGCATAGGAATGGCGCAGCTGGTGGGGTCAATCACGTGCCTTGGCAAAAATCCAAGTATATCGACTTGGTTTTCCGACTCGAATTGCGTAGAATTCGAGATGGCTCAACTTGATACTCTTGAGTGCCTCACATGGTATTGTATCATGAAAATGCTCTTGCTAATTCTCGGGTGTTGTCAAGTGATTCAAAGAACGGTTTCCTCTGCATTGGTGTTGTCCTAACTTTGAGTTGAATTTCAATACTTGGACGATACAACCGAGTCAAGTGTAGGAGAAAACGGCGCTAATCAATCTTGCAAATCGGCTTCGGTACATCGTTTGCCAGCTTAAACTCAGACCGGATGCCGTTTCTAGCGTGCAGCGGTTGCCATTTCTGCGATTGTTGCAATAGGCATGGAGTTATTTTCATGGTGTGGATGAGGAGAGATGGAAATGAAGGGAATTGAATGGAAACCCCACCTGCCCAAGAAAAGCAAGCTTCTCCCTCCTCCACATTGACACTTCACCAGCTTCGTTTAGTTGGGGCTTCTACAAACAAGAAAATCTGACAAAACACAGAAGTTAGGAAGCAACTGATGTTTCTCTTCATCTCAAAAAGTCAATACTCTAAGACAACCTGATAGCTTTTAGGAAGGTTTAGGTAACCAAAATCATGACTAGGAAAAAGTGATCTTTGTGTGAAGAAAATTTTGTAACTGAGTTTGTCAATTTGTTGTCCTGTTGTCAACCAAACACAGAGTACAAACTTGTGCCTCTTTCTTTCCTCTCCATCCGAATTGACATACCGATAAATTCACCTTTTGTTCTAATTCTATTATGATCGTTCTGTTCGCTTACGATACGTCCAGAGAAAATGAGGACAACGGAAAACTAGTTTTCATCGCGAGATTAAGGGGACACTCAACATTACTATCCATAGCCGACCCAGTTGTAAGAAAAGTTCCTGGATTGGCTACAATTAGGGGTGAGTGGTTCCAGGTTCTTTACAGGTTCCACCTGGAACCTAGCCTCAGGTACAGGTTTCCCATTTTTTGGAATCTGGAACCTACCCGTTGGAACTTGGAAACTACCCTGTCACAAGTTCCAGGGTAGGTTCCAGGATCTAATGAGTTCTTTTTTTTTTCATTTCATTTTTAATTAAACAAAACGAAAATGAACGTAACAATATTGAACAAGCTTGTCATTCACCAAAGAGAATACAAAAGACTAGTTTTCCGGGCATTACGGTTCAAATAAATACAATTAAAATGAGAAGTTATTGCGTGAATCGATACTAAAGGTGAGTGGTTTCATGTTTCGTACAGGTTCCACCTGGAACCTACCCATGAGAATAGATTCCTCATTTTTTGGAATTTGGAACCTACCCTATCACAGGTTCTAGGGTCTACTCAGGTTTTCCCATTTGCTGCTTTGATCCACTGACCAAAACTTATATTTAGACACATGACGAATGTGAAGCATTAATAAGTCATTAAATGAAAGTTTAGATTAGTAGTTCCAAATTATACAGTAATCATTTATGGCCATGAAATACCATAGGATCACGTGAAGACATAGATCAAGAAAAAACACAAAAAACTTGTTTAGGTTTCAGGTTTTAGGTTCCACCCTAACTAGAACCTGGAACCTACCCGTCGAAACAGGTTCCCCAATTTTTGGAATCTAAAACCTACCCTGCATACTTTGGAATCTAGAACCTACAGGTTTTCACCAGTCAGGTTCTCAGGTTCCAGGGTAGAACCTGGAACCATGCTCACCCCTAGCTACAATGGCCCAAATCTTACTTTCTGGCCCATTCATCATGGAGACGGCCTAGCAGCATATTGGGCCGATAGCAAGATCCCCAATTTAATTGGGTCCTTGGAGCCATGGGCCCGGCCTATACAAAGGAACATCAATGGACGCATTAATGAGCGAAGACTGGTGTTTAAGATTTTTGGGCCAAATCCGTCACCTCCACGCCACCGGTCAGTCCCCTTTCTACCTTGGACGGGCTGAAAGACCGAGGCGTCATAGATTGGCGGGGGGGGAACTCATGTCTTCCGCTCTCGAATACTAACTTGAGTGTGGAAGGGTTTAATCTGGGGACATGGTGCCGATAAGTGCTCGCACGGATCTAGCAATGCACGAGCAGGTCGGGTCGGGTCAGGACAGGGCAAGTGCTTGCTTGTGTAAAGAAAGAATTAGATTGCAAAGCCATTTTATGTAGGAGAACAAGGAGGGAGAGAATGAGAGTCTAGAGATCCTACAGTTCTAAGGCATGGTTGGACCTTTGAGTGGGATGTAAGAAAGTGGACTAGGCCTTTCATCACTTGCCCTCATTGTGCCTCACCTATGTGTTACCCAAAAACCCTGAAGCAATCCATTAGAATTGGGCCCAAAAATTAGGTAATTTTAGGACTACCTAACTTTAACAAACTCGTGGCCCCGCGTTTTGACTATAACCGGGAAGATGGAAATTTACGTAGGGTGCGAAACTTGGTTGACGATGACACCATGCCACGATACAAAATCGAAGAGACGTATCACACACAATCCTTTCTTTCTCAATGGTGTTTGGATATATCAGACCACTCGACTTAACTCATCGGGCCTAGGTAATCTTCGCATCTCATCGAAGACCCAGTAACTGTCGGGACCCATAAGCCCTAGAGGGAGGCCCTAAGGGAATTGCTTTCGCCACGACCTGAATCCGCCGCGCATCTCTAATCGGCTCGACAAACTCCTCGACTTGAGATTGGGTCGCGCAATCTCTTTTTGGAGTTTTTCCACAACGTCGAGCGCAATGACAATCCAAATCAAAGATCAAGATCCACATGCCACATGATAACTTTTTACCGCGATGCACGTGCTGAGAAGCAGACAGTCGAGGCTACGCAACAAAAAACCATACAAACGCGAGGTGGCGATGAAAGGAACGTCGATTGTCGAATTGCTCGTCAACGATCGAACTTTGTTGGGTTATGATCGTTAAAACGACACTTGGACTCATCTCTCTGGTTATGATCATTCGTGCGTGGCTGAACCACTCCTTCAGGTTCAGTCCATGGCTCTCCACCTGCGAAATCGGCCATTGTATGAGGCCCCTCAGTGCCAACAATCATGGGATGAATATGATCATCGTGTGACCACGACAAAAATCATCACCACATTCATTGCTGCAATTAAGACAAAGAAATGTGGGTACCCAAGAGCAATGATTATATGCAAGATCCATCTTATCGGATCATGGGCATCGTTCTATGATCAGAAAAGGACAGAAATTATCTGAAAAAAGAGCCAATAATTGGCCTCTTCCATTTGCTTCTCCAATTGGGTTTTCACTCCTGATGAGCTCAATCAAGACCCCAATAAAAAACCCTGAAAATTGGACGCACACAAAAAGAAAAAGAAAGACAGAGCAACGCAAGGAAAAGTTAACAAAGAAAAGTCCTAAATTTATTGTATTGGTACCAATTCAATCGTCCTAAACTTTTCAATTGATTCTGTTCGCATTGGTACCAATTCAGTCCATTTGATCAATTTAGATCGGAAATCGTTGATGTGTACGACGGTCATCCTACATGGTACGACAGGCTCTGATTTGGACACTTTTTTTTTTAATTTTTAAATACTATCTTTGAATTTTTTTATTAATTTTTTCTTTTCTTGTCTTTTCCTCTTCTTTTTTTCTATCCTTTCTCTTTTTTCTTTTTTCCTTAGTTACCCCCGCCAGTCACCGACCTGCGGAGGTCACTGGTCGCCGAAAAGGGCAAGGGCGGGACGCTCTCGCCAAAGGTCGGCGAGGCCCTTGGCGACTGCGGCGAGGGCTTAGCAAGGCCGCCCCTCGCCACATGTTGGCGAGGACATCCCGGCCCTCACCCTCACCAGTGACCTCCGCCGACTGGCAACAGGCGGAGGGTAATAAGGAAAAAAGAAAAAAAAAAAGAGAAGGAAAGAAAAAAAGAAAAGAAGGGAAAGAAAAGGAAAAAGAAAGAAAAAATTAATAAAAATTTCAAAAAGTATCCACGTAAACACTGGCCCTCCGTGTCACGTAAGATGACCGGTATCCACATTAGCAATCTCCAGTTTATATTGGCTAGATAAACTGAATTGGTACTAGGTTTAGGACTAAATTGCTATCAATATAATAAATTTATGGCTTTTTTTATACATTTGCCAAAACCATCTCTTTGTCCAATTCGCATGATTTAGGCGGGTGTGTGGCGATCTAACATCCCATACGGGTGTACTGATTGCCCGCACGTGAACGTCTTCGAAATGATTTCTGTTTTAGTCGGGGTCTTCGAAACGATTGATTGAGCATGTTTTGTGCGATCGCGTGGACGTGGGTACACCTGGATATCCTATAGCCATGCGTATCCGACCCTCGAAACTCCGGAACACTACGCGAATTTGGGCTTTTGCGAGAACACAAAAAAAAATGAAATGAACAAGATAGAATGTGTTCGACAGAGATGGTGGTCAAGCAGGGCACGTACGTGGGACGCACCTGGTGGAATCGACATGTACGTCCAAACCGAGAAATCGGGGGAAAATGACAAGAGCGACAAAACATGTCGGTAGGGTCTGAAAATCTAACTTTGTGAGATCGATGTTGAAGCGGAGCAAAATGCAATCAATCGACGAGAAAGGTGACTAGACCGAGTTAGCAACAATCAATCTTAGGAATAGTGCAAGAAGTGATCGACTGACTGTTAGCACATAAGATGTCGGACTAATCCTCCTCTCCAATGTACTTTAGAGACATTGAGAGCGGAATGTATGAGCTCGGGACCGAATTATTTGCAAGGGTGCGAAGGTACATGCATATACTGTTCGTATACGGCGATGCGTGTCCCAGGATCGATGATTCCGCCCATCGAATACGAATTTCACGAGCGTGCGCTAGCCACGTGATTAGTTCG